CTGACTATACATATATAAACATACATAAAAAATTAAAGAAAAACCCTTTAAAAACATGGCATGGGAGGAGTTTAATTGCCTAATCCAGAAAGTGGTAAAAAGAAAAGTTTCCTACTGAAATGGGCAAGGATTGCATGTTACTTGTCCCTCTTTACCCATTCATGATCACACTTTATAAGTTTTTTGGCACACTAAAAGAAATTAATGAGTGTTGCAATCCTAAATTAATTAGGAATATGATTATTTAAATCTCAATATGATTCTATAATATCTTTTAGATAGTTTTTTAGTTGTAATATATTACTTAAAAGATAAAGATTCTCTCTTCCTTATTACTATAAATATATATTGTGATGCTAATGACTTAAATCTCTCTTCTCCCTCTCCTTATCGTTGCTCCTTCTCTCTACTTTTTCTCAGTAAAATAGGCATACAACACGTTATCAGCACGCTGTCGTTGATACATTAAGAAACTAAAAGTTTTTGGAGGAGGTTCTTCTACAACTAGCATTCAAAGGCTTTTGTAGTTTCACCCTTCTAAAGCACAAAATTGAGTTCATAAGTCTTGATAGCATGAAAACATTCACCATAGTGCATAAACTCTCAATTTATTTATGCTTTATATATTGCCCTGTACTGCATGTATTGTTCAATACACACACACACGTAATAATCTATTTTGTTATTATTCGATATTGCTATGTTGAATTGTGTGAACAATAAAGAACAAGAAAATATAAGCAAATTCGGTTTTATTTAAAAACCCTAATTGCAAGCCGCCATAGCCTTGAGCTGCCGCCTGCAACAACACTAGCCCCAAGCCTAGCCTGCAGCTCTAAAACGACATTGTTTTGGCTCAAGGCTCTCCTGTTCATGGCATGGAAAAGTCAAATGTATTAAAGATAGGATTAAATCACTAAATCATATCTTTAATACATTCTCAATTAAAGATAAATTTCATCAAATCACAATCAATTAATCATGGATACTTCCATCATTATCCCAATATCCCATCTCTAAAAAATCACCATAGAATCAATCGAAGATAAATTCTGACTACTATAAATAAAGACGATAAAGATAAAAAAATCATCACCATAGAATCGCTAAATTTTCTCTTCTCCCTCTCCTACCAATGGCCCCCATCCCTATTTTTCTTTAGTAAAATAGGCCTACAATTATCATCAATTCTTTTATTATTTTAAACTTCACAACTGTTTTTTCATATTTTCTTATGTGTTTTTAAAAAAAATTGGTATATAATTTCTGGTTGTGCGTGTCTTTTGGTGAAGGTATGCTTGTCACCTACTCCTCTTAAGTTCTCAATCTCTCTAATGCTACTAGTATTCTCCAAAAAGTAGAGAGAGGGCATTAAAGCTCCGTTCTTAGCTCTGCTCTGCTGTGTACTGTGCCAATGGAGAGGCACAGATGCAAGCTCTGCTCTAGGGCTTTTGCTAATGGCAGAGCACTGGGTGGTCATATGAAGGCTCACTTGGCAACTTTTCCTCTTCCCCCTAAAACTTACCAAATCACTGAGTCCGACTCGTCTTCATCTTCTTCCTCCGGCGAAGAACCAGAAAAAGAAGAACAACATTTGCAAGAAGAACAAGAAGAGGAAAAGGGTTTGACTTATGGGCTGAGAGAGAACCCAAAGAGGAGTTTCCGGCTTGCGGATCCTGAGTTTTCTTTTGTTGATGCTGGGTCGGTGATTCAAGACAGAGAGAGTGAGACCGAGTCAAGAAACCCAACTCGGAGACGATCCAAGCGGAATCGAAGATCATTCGTTGTTGTTACAGATAATCTGCAGAGCCAGAAGTTGGAGATGAAGAAAAAACCCAAGTTGACAATTTCAACACCGCCGCGTTTGGCCGAGTCTCCTCCTCTAGCGGCAGAGCTTGAACCGGTGAGCTCGGTCTCCGACACTTCTCCGGAAGAAGATGTTGCTATGTGCCTTATGATGCTGTCAAGAGATGTGTGGATGATAAGATTACATGATCATCAGCAAGCAGATCAATCGGTTCAAGTTCAAGAACATAGTAGGCAAGTAGTGGAGGAGCTGGAGGGGGTCAAATCGAAGAAACTTCGAGGGAAGAATCGTTGTGAGAAATGCAACAAACTGTTTCGATCTTTTCAAGCAATGTGCGGCCACAAAAAGATTTGCTTTCGCAACGAGGAGGAAGCAATCAACAATGCAGGTGGTGAGAAGCTGTTTGAGTGCCCCTTTTGCTACAAAATATTTGGTTCCGGTCAAGCTCTTGGCGGTCACAAAAGATCTCACCTTTCGGGTTCTTCAAGATCAATGGTTGTATCAATGGCTGCAAAAACTGAAGTTAAAGAGGGTTTCATAGATCTCAACCTGCCTGCTCCGGAAGAAGATGATGAATTTAGCGTGCTATCGGACGCGTAAAAATGTAAAAAGTAACAGACTTCTCCATCAAAACTCGGATCCAAAGGTAAAAGAAATTCGATTATCCGAGCAACATTTAGATCAAATGGGTGAAGATTGAAACACTTTTTCGATATTTTTCACTCATATATCAATCGATTCGCTCTTTCTTTTCCGTATTGGGACCATTATTCATTTTTGTTTATGCAGTTTCAAGTTTCAACAACTGTTTGGTCGAGTTCCAACTGCAGTAACAACTTGTTATATGTATTGCTGTTGACTAGAATACAGAAAGTTGAATTGTTCATTTTTTTTTTTTTTATTTCTTTTATTATTATAGCAAAATTCAAGTAATGTTGGGTTTTATTTGCAATGTCAAGTGGTGTTCGTTTACTTGCCTTTTAACTTATTTAGTAATTAGGTACTACCCCACATTGCATTGAACAAGAACGTAGTATAATGCGATACTTGTTGAGATATTGCAGAATCTCGTGAACAATCGAAACTATTATTCTAGTTGTTGTTGGGTTGTCAATGTGCTCCTCTGCTTCAGCTTGAGGTCCAGTTTTCCAGTAGTTCTTGCAAATTGTCCTATCTCATAAAAATGGACTAGGATCCTATCCGCTTTGTCAGGATTGTAGGGAATCAATTCATTTTAGTCGCTCATCGTATATCGTGCGATGATCTTTCGTTAGTTATTATTTGTGTTCAATTTTAAATAAAATAATTTAAAATAATTTTTGTCGTAGGATGACTGATTAACAGTTAGGATGAACTGATCCCTACGATCATTTCACAAAGAGAATCCTATTCCTTTAAATATAGAGTAAATTGTAACAATGGTCCCTCAACTTTAATCAAATTGGAGCAAAGGTCCCTCAACTAAAAATTCATTATCATTGATCCCTCAACTCATCAAAATGTGTAACTATGGTCATTTTCATTAAATTTGTCAAAATTTTGTCAAAATGAGTTATGTTGGAATGATCATTGCTACAATTAGGATCCCTTAATTCATCAAAATGTGTAGCTATGGTCATTTTCATCAACTTCGTCAGAAACTTGTCAAAACAAGTTATGTTGGAATGATCATTGCTACAATTGGGTTAAAGTTGAAGGACCATTACTCAAATTGGGTTAAAATTGAGGGAACATTTCTCCAGTTGGATTAAATTTGAGGGACCAATGATAATGAATTTTTAGTTGAGAGACCATTGCTGCATGTTTTGATAAGTTGAGAGACCAATAGTAATGGATTTTTAATTAAGTGACATTTACTTCAATTAGTTAAAATTAAAGGAATATTGCTACAATTTACTTTTAAAAATAAGATCAAATAAAATATAAAAAGTGTTCTATGATTGTTTTGTTTGTCCCATCTGCTCTCTCTCTGTCTCTGTATCTCTCTCTCTCTCTCTCAACCGGTTGTTTTAGCTTGAAGCATAGGATTTTCATGATTTGGGAGGTCTCAACCAACAAACTGCAAACTGTTTTCCAGATGACATTTCTGATGTGGATATGTTTGATTGTGACTGGAGAAGATCCCAAAATCCCTTCAATTTTTTCAACTTAAAAATATCTGCCTTGAAATGAACGAAGTATCCGGGCAGAAGGAGTTGCCAGCCACCTGCTGCCGTGCTACTATTCTTATCGAAGAATCAGTCAGACCACTAGGACTTTTTAAATCCTCGTATCTTGGATGATTTTATACGTTTTTCTAAATTCATATTAATTGCCAACTTATATTATATTAAGAAATTATTATTAACACTTTAAAATTCTCATTTTGTACTTCAAATTTTTTATATTTAGAAAGAAAAATACACTTGTGAGGAATGTAGAATGACATTTTTAGAGTATCAATAACAGTCCTTTTATATTACTATCTATAGTTTTCTTCATCCTTTAGTATTTGTAAGTAGGGATATAGGGTTGGGCACTTAGAATCGAAAACCAAAATCGAAACACAAATCCAATCGGATCGCACGGAACATTTGGTTTGCGGTTTTGAAACGATTTCGGTTTTGAAATCAAACTGCTGTAAGAAACAATTTTGTTTCGGTTTTGGCTTTTGAAAAGCTTACCGAAACCGAAACCAAACCGCACTGCAAATATTAATAAACATCTAATTATCAAAATATTGTCATTCATCACTTTCTTTCGTAGTTGTGCATTGTTGCTAGTTTGCTACAGATATAGTCCATATTTTGGATGAAAATAGATTATCAAAATATCCTCACTCAGTCAATGACTATGGACATGGGTTCATTAATTAATCTATCATATGGAAAATGAGAGAGTTTTAGTGTAGATAATTATTAGATTTAAACCCTTTTTTCTTTGAACCGAAACCATTTGAAACCGCATCGAACCAAACAATTTGTTTCATTTCGGTTTTGGCCTCAAAACCACACTGCACCAAATCAAAAAAAAAAATTCAGTTTCGGTTTTAGTTTCACTAAAAACTGCACAAAACCAAACCTTGTCCATCCCTATTTGTAAGTGAAAAATCCTAATTTCAAATCACATGGGACGACGACGTATTATATGTGTTAAGTTAGATAGCTAATTAGTGGTCTATGGGTGTGGTCTTGCTCAGTCCTCTCTTGTGACATCCCGTCCCGAAACTATCGAAACGCATAGAGGAAATGACCCTTTTACCCCTAGTTTGTTTTGTTATGTTTTTGGTTACTTGGTGTGGTGTTGGCAGGTGCTGGGCCACCCACACACACCCTCATTGTCCCTATCCCTCTCTCAGTCTCTTTCCCTGTCTCTCTCTCTTTCCCGAGTCCTCTATCCTTCTTCTTCTTCCTTCAAACTCGTACGGACACACACACAACTACACTATTTCACCACAGATCGAAGGAACTAAGGGCACAGTTGAGATCGTGAGGTCGTGGGGAGCAAGATCATACCAATATCAGGTAAGAACTTCGATGTTTTCACGTCGATTTCACAAGGTCCGTTTTAGTCACTGTTCATGCAAGATTAATCTAGTTAGTTTTTGGACTTTTAAAGCTTGTAGATGTGTTGGTGAGGTCCCAAGGAGCTTGGGAGTGCATCATTGGACGGAATTGGACGTCGGATTAGCCTGGTTCGAGTTTGACCGGTTTTGGTAATTGGTGACAGGTGAGTTCTCGTGAGTTTTAGTCCTTAAAACTTATATAGACGTGTTCTACTAGTTCTAAGGGTTAAAATGATGCAAGAATCATGGAAAATGGTGGAAAAACGAACGAGAAAACGTAATTTACAGGTTTTCCAGTTTCCGGTTCCGACGACGGCGCCGGAGATTGAACAGAGAAGGAGACGGAATATTCCGTCAGAATTGACGGAATATTCCTGACGCCGTTAACGGAATCTGTCAGTTTTGACGGAATATTCCTAACGGCGTCAGTTGACGCCGTCAGCGTGCCAGGCACGTGCCTGCGTGTGGCCGTGCCTTGGCCGGCGCGTGCGGCGGTGGAAAATTTTTCTAAAAATATGGTTGTGATCCTAAGGTTGTGTAGAGCACGTTGGTATATTCAATTGTCCATTTTGAGCAATGTATGAGAAGTTATTTTGAACGGAAGGTTATGTGTTTTAAAATTTACGTTTTTATAGTATTTTCGCATATAGGTGACACGTATCCCGAGGACGAGCGTGCTCACACGAGGCAGGGGGGCTACGACCCTTCCACATACCAGTGAGTGGGCTTTTGGTTTTCCGTATATACCTATATACATTTATATTCCCAGAAATAGTTAAAAAGGGTTATTCGTTTTATGCCATGCACCATATCCTTGTTGTTTATGTATTATCATATGCATTAGTAGTGACATACATTTACATATTTATAATTGGTGCTGTGGAGGCGCAGGTAAGTGCCAGGTAAGCGTTATTTAACCTTTGCATTAAATGGTGATTAGAGGTGCTTAGAGAGCTCATAACCTGCACCCCCGGTGTTAGTGCTCCCGCCCAGAGTAAGGCACAGTCCTTCACGTGTTGTTCACCTCCCGCACCATACGCTCAGCTTGGATCCAAGTTAGGTGCACAGTCTTGTCGTACAGACCACTTTAGGTGGTTCCGACTAGTAGGTGACCCGCGATTATTCGCACAGCCTTCACGTGATCGTAGCACTAGAGCGTTTATATGTATTACACCCAGGCCTGTCGTACAGACCACTATAGGTGGTTCCGACTCGTGGGCAGGTTTAGTGATTGAGATTGAGAATTGAGCTCTAAATTCAGTCGTACAGGTCACTTAAGGGACTCCGGCTGCCAGACGTTTTGATATTGATGTGATTTATACCTGAGCACTTGCATACCATTATAAGGCTTTGACATAGCACATTCTTGAGCATGATTGGCATACCCTTGAACATGATTGGCATATTTATACATACGTATATATATATTTATTTCTGGGAAGTATACAGGTTTTACGGCGAGGGGTTAGAATGTATTTTACTAAATGGTTTTCAAAGAGCTTTGTTTTTGCCCACTCACGCTTTTGTTTTGCGCCCCTCCAGGTTCTAGTAGCTTAGCGGGTTCAGTGGTTTTCCTAGAGGGCGTCTCGGCATTTCTGACAGACACTCACCAGTGTAGGGTCACCTTCGGGTGTACTACTGTCGTATCATTCTCTTTGGACTGCTGTAGTCTTTATGCCCCGAATTCAATGTCTTACTTACGCTAGCACTTATTTTATCACATCATATATGCTAGTTTTTCAATTATTCGTACTTTTATATTACTTTCTTTAGCTTCCGCACTGTGCACATGGCTACGTCACTTCCACGTGACGGCCAACATGCCCTGGTCTCGGTTGGGGTGTGTCATCTCTTTTGTAAAACAGATTAGGGGTAATGCTATTCACACACACATTTTTACCTCACACACCTTTTTACCTCACACGCACCTTTTTAATTCTCACACACCCTTGTTAATTGTGTGTACATTGATCTTCTTCAATTTATTCGATCTGACGGCTAAAAATTAAGAAGGGTGTGTGAGAGATAACAATAAGTGTGGATAGAACCAACCTAGATTATATCTCTCCTTCTGCATAAGAATATCGGTTGTTTTAAAAATTCATAAAAAAAATTTCAATAAAAGATGTGTCAATGACAGTGACTCAATAATACAAGGGCATTTTATCAAACCACAGAAAAAGGGTATGTTTAGGTTGTTATCATAGGAGGTGGATTATCTGCCCTCCCATTTCCATACTCTTTCCATGCCCTTCTGTGATGTGTGGTTACGGTTAAGCCACGTTAACATTTTATATTAATTTTTTATAGAAATAATAAAATAAAAAGTAATAGAAATATAAAATGTTGACGTGATTTAACCGTAATCACACAAATAGGAAGGTATAGAGAAAGTATGGAAATGGGAGGGTAGACAATCCACCTCCGTTATCATATAGGCCCGGGCCTCCCCCAACGTGGGGTCTTTTTATGCATGTATCGATTTTTCATGCTTCATATGATCAACTTAAAGGTTGACTAAAACCGATCTACTCAAATTATGCTTGTGATATTAAAATAGCAACCCCAAATCGACCGTAATTGCAGACACAATGGTAGGCCATCGGTTTTATAAAAAAATAAAAAATAAAAAATAAAAAAAATAAAAAAACTTATATGACATGGGTACACCGTTATGATAGTATTTTGTGCCAATGAAACAAAAATGTTTAAATTTTTTTCTACACATTCTTGTTTTATTGACACGGAATGCTACCATGACGGTATACTCATACCATATAAGTTGGTCTTCATCGGTAGGTCTTGAAATCAAACTAACCAAACTTGTTGATTTGAATCGTAGTGGTAAATTTGATTTTATTTTGATCAAGAAAAATGTTGAACGGTTCAAAATGAAACAGACTTTATAATTTGGTTCGATTTTGATTTTGAATGGCACAAACCAAATTGGACCGGCCACTCGAAGGCGTATCTATTAAGGGATCAGATGGATCCGTGGACTTTACGGAAAACGGGAAAATGCTTGGAAGGATCTATGGGGACCCTATGACAGTTTGGGTTAAAACCTAATAATGATCACTGCATTTGATGAAATCTTGCTTGGTAGACGGCGGCAGGTGAAGCTAGACATGTCTCGGCAAGTTCAAAAGGCATTGGCATCAAGGCCTAGTAGATGTCATCATGCCCATCAAGTGCTTGATGAAACGCCTCACTAACAAAACTTAGTACAAATCACTTGAACTCAACAAATTTCTACTTGAGTTGCTTCGTCATAAAAATGTTTTGAACTTTTATACTAGTATCAAATGAGGTATGAATTTTAGATTCGCCACTGCGACTGCTTATTTATTTATTTTTATATTATTTTATGTTACATGTCTAAGTGGCTAGTTGTGACAGCCCGTTCCGGAATTTTTAAGACGTACGTGTGAAAGGACGATTTTGCCCCTAGTGTGATTTTACGTTGTGTGGTTGTTTTTTTTTAGCTTGGTTTGGGCTGGTTGTGGACCACACACATTTCCCCACACGCACACTCACCCTTTCCCTGCCCTACACCCTGTCTCGTGCCATTTCCCTTCTCCCATTTCCATTCCCATTGTACGGACACACCCCAAATCTCCCCAAATCTTCACAGATCGAGGAAACAAAGTACATATCCATGCTCGGGAGGTCCGTAGAAGTTCAACCATACCCATTTCAGGTAAGGATACCTTCTTTTTCATGTCGAACTCGGGATACCCAAATTTTGTCACTGTTCATGCACACGTAAATTCTTATGTTTTTGGGAATTTCAAGCTTGTAGGAAGCTTGGTGAGGTCCTTAGGAGGCTCGGGGTGGTTCGTTTGAAGGTTTTGGGCGTCGAGATAGTGAGTTTCGAGGTTAGCCGGAGTTGGTGGTGTTTTCTCTGCGAGATTTCGTGGATTTTAGAAGTGGTATGAACTTGTTCCTCTCGTTGTAAGCTTCATTTTGGTACCAATTTTGTGAAATTTGGTTGAAAAACAAAGAAGATATCACGATTTGAAAATTTCCCGATTTTCCAGCGCCGGCGACTGCGCCGGAGAAGACGACGGAATATTCCGTCAAAACTGAGGGAATATTCCTAACGACGTAAACGGAATATTCCTGACGGCGTTAACTGACGCCGTCAGCGTGCCAGGCACGTGCCTGCTCGTGGCCAGCACGTAGGGGCGTGTGCAACGGTGAAATTTTTTTCTAAAAATATGGGGATGTTCCTAAGGTTGAGTAGATCACGTTGGTGTATTCATACACCCCATTTGAGCATTGTATGAGAAGTTATTTCATAAGGTTGGTCATGTGCTTTAAAATTTACGTTTTTGTAGTTGTTTCGCATATAGGTGAGACGTATCCCGAGGACGAGTGTGGTCACTCGAGGCAAGGAGGTTACGACCCTTCTACATACCAGTGAGTGGCCTTTTGGTTTTCCGTATATACCTATATACTCATGTTTTCCCAGAAATTGATTTGAAACGTTTATTTGTTATTATGCTATGTTTATTGTTTGCCATTATTTATGCATTATTAGTTGCATGTGTATATATATATATATGTGTGTGTGTGTGTGTGTGTGTGTGTGTGTGTGTTTGGCGCTGCGGATGTACGGGTAAGTACCAGGTGAGTATGGTTTACATTTACGTTCAGTAGTGATTCCAGATGCATTGAGAGCTCATAACCTGCACCCCCGGTGTTAATGCTCCCGCCCAGAGTTGGGCACAGTCCTTCATGTGATGTTCACCTCCCGCACCACACGCTCATCTTGGATCCAAGTTAGGTGCACAGTCCTGTCGTACAGACCACTTTAGGTGGTTCCGACTCGTAGGTGACCCGCGATTATTCGCCCAGCCTTCACGTGATCATAGCACTTGTGCGTGTATATATATATATATATATTATGACACCCAGTCCTGTCGTACAGACCACTCTAGGTGGTTCCGACTCGTGTGCAGGTATAGTTAGTGAGATGGAGATTTGAGCTTTAGATTCAGCCGTATAGGTCACGTTAGGTAACTCCGGCTGACAGATTTCAGAGCATTGGTTTTGGCATTTCCTGAGCACTTACATTCTATTTAGAGACATTTGGCATGGCATATTTTTTCGAGTATGATTATATATATATATATATGTATGTATATTATGTTTCTGGGAAGTATACAGGTTTTACGATGAGGGGTTAGAACTTGTTTCAAAATGGTTTTTGAAAAGCTTTGTTTTTTCCCACTCACGCTTTTGTTTTGCACCCCTCCAGGTTCTAGTTGGCTAGCACGTTTGGCGGCTTCCCTGAGGATTTCCCCGGCATATCTGATAGACCGTCACCAGTGTAGGACCACCTTCGGGTGTACCTTTGTTGTGTCGTTTTCTCCCGAACTGCATTAGGTCTTCGTGCTCTGAACGTTGTTTTCACACTTTGCTTGCACATGTATGTTGTTACCTTGTGATAAGCCAGATTTTAATTATTCGCTCTATTTTTTTTATTTTATTAGCTTCCGCACTGTGCACTTGGCTACGTCACTTCCACGTGACGGCCAGCATGCCCTGATCTCGATCGGGGTGTGTCACTAGTAACTAGATAAGTGTATTGGTTTTGAACTTTGAAGTTTGATGGCATGTTGAATTTCAAAATGATTTTATGTGATGGAAAATAATGAATATGTAGGAATTATTATTTATGTAATTTTTTAGGTAATTGGGGTAACAAAGTTGTAAGATGTAATCTTCTTGAAAAAAATTAAAAAAAAATAAAAAATAAAAAATAAAAAAAAAGTTGTAAAATGCAAAAGAGAAAAGAATGGTCGTAGCCCCAAAACCTATCCGCACTAAATTTTGGAGTACAATTCTTTTGCCTCCTATTCTCATCCTTTTAGGATTCTTTTACCTCATATTCTTATCCCATT